AAAATGGTTGATCATTTCTTTAGTTTTGCAAGGTGCTGGAATTCGGGACTTATTGTGTGCCAGCAAGTGTTCCGCCACTGTGCTATAACCTTAGCCTGGGATTGTTTCTTACATTGCATAAACATCACAGGAAGCCATTCTTTTGCATTGGCACAGTAGATAAGCTAAAATTCCCAAAGAGCCGCACGTATGGCTCAGTCCCTAAAGCATTTGCTTTGCGAACGCAAAGACATGTGCTTGGTTCCTAGACTCCACATAGAAATGCCATGCATGATGGTGTGTTCTGTGTGTGCTTGTCATGTCGGAGCTGGGAAGGGAGACAGCAGAATTCCTTGGGCTTGCTGGCCAGCTAGTCTAGCCTAACTCCTAAGTCCCAGGCCAATGAAGGACCCTATCTCAAAGGGGATGACTGATGCTCCGGAATATGACAGAAGTTACGCTCTGGGCCTCCACGTGCAAACTTGTACACACATGCATCACTCATACCTGGCCATGCACATGCACACACCCACGGCCCTACACACGCTTAAATGGAGTTACTCATGCTAAAGTTCACGTCACAAAGATGAAATGGGGCTGCTAATCTGATCTTCAGAGGAAGCAGCCAGCAAACAACCATGTGTCCCATCCCAGGCTATTCTTAGCGGGGTTGGTGGTGAAGCTCCGTCCACATTCTTCCTTTCACACAACAGGAAGCTGAAGGGGCTTGGGGTGCACCACTGTTGTCCTTTACCCATTGTTCTCTGTTCCTGTCCCTACTTTACAAGAAAAGGGATTTTGAAAAGATAATCTACCTTTTGAATTTTGTCTTTGCTTTTCTCCAGCTCTTCTCTGCCCACACAACCTACTTTCTCTGCCTGGCCCATTGGAAAAACTGGTGTATTTCACGGAAGGAGAGATCAAGAATTGAAAATAAGGCTGGTTGAGATCTTTACGTTGTTGTGATTTTGTTCTTTCATATCTAAGTGGATTGGAATTCTTCGCCTCTCTTTATGATGTGGAGTGGGAGCCAGGATAGATAAACACACCTCTGGAAATTACCCAATGAGCCCTGGAGGCCTAGAGTTGCCAGTGACCCCTGTCTCCTTTCTGGCCTTGTTGCCGCCAGGCAGAGTGAAAACAAGTGCATCTAGCTCCGGGGCTCGAAGGTTAGGGAATAAATAATGCTGCTGGAAGAACCAGTGCTGAGAAGCAAGACAAGCCCCAGGCTCCCTTCCTGCAGCTTGTGGCCTGCACCCTGAGGCTTCCAGGCCTGGATTCTGCTGACTTCAAAGCCAGACTTCGGAAGGGGAAAATTGTGGCCAATACTGCCCGGATGACCCACGTTCTCACAACTGAGAGCCCCGGGAAAGAAACTTGTGGACCCAGGGCGGGTAAGGCTCACCCTTCTTCCAGTTCCAGAAGGACAACCTAGGCCTTAGGCAGTCTTCTGGAGGAAGGGCCCCACGTGGCCTCTCACTGGGGCAGTAGAAAGTGCAATTTCGCCCCATCTGGCTGATTCTGCTTCATGTGCACATCCAATCAAAAGAGGAAACAGGGGCCGTGTGGTGTTTCTTTGTTTGGAAATAGAGCCAGAGGCCGGATTGTAGCTCAGTGTTACATACAGTACATGGTAAGCATACAGAAGAACTCGGGTTTTCTCCCTAGTGAAAATGAGAGAGAGAGAGAGAGAGAGAGAGAGAGAGAGAGAGAGAGAGAGAGAGAGAGAGATCATACTTTATTATCGTTAAAAGACATTTCTTAGGAAGCAAAGATGGTAGAGGGTCCCATGGCAACCAGTCACAGAGAAGCCATCTGTACTGTCTCATTCATTTGTTCGACGAATATCTACTGACTGCGCAGTATTGTGCCGGAAGATTCTGGGTGCTGCAAGCACAGAAACTGGCATCTTTTTTCCTTAGATCTCCCACTTCCAAGAAGAGAGAGAGAAACACACAAAAAGCTCCTATCCACATGCTACAGAACTTAGTGAGGTCAGAGGCTGGACGTGGGTGCAAGGGTTGAGTCCATGGAGGTGACAGAAAAGACCTGTGGCTAAAGGGCATTTGAAGAGGTCTGAAGGAAATGGAGGGAGGTAGTCTGCGTGGATTGTGGATTTCTAGGACAAAGTGATCCTGGCAGGACAGCTAGTATGTGTAAAGGTCCTGAGGCAGCAGTGTGCCTGCTGCTTGGAGGACAGGAGCCCAGTGTGGCTGTAGCCTGAGAAAAACGAGGGCAGAGAAAACACATCCTGGAGGAGACAAGGCTGGAGCAGGTAGACCCTTTCCCCCTCTCTCTTACATTCCTTCCCTTTCTCCTTCTCTTCTCTTTTCCGTTTCGAGACAAGGTCTTGCTACATTGTCCAGCTGGCAAGAGGTCCTTCTTCCTCAGATTTCCAAATAGTTGGAATTATGAGCATAACCCTCTGTCCCTGGGCAGCATGGCGTTTTTCATACTGGACTGTGCACATATGTCTTCTGGGAATGTGGGAACATGCCGGGTGTAAACCTCAAGCCTGTGACGGGGTCTGGCATTCTGCATGTCTCAGACTTCACAGAAAAGGACCATGCTGTTATGAGTTAGGGGAGGAGACGCTGGCATGTTCTGAGTTCAGAGAGACCTCATCTGACCTTTGTTTTCCTTTTCTATCCTACTTTTCTTTCTTTTTTTAAATCCCTGATAATGGGGATGGAACCCAGGGCCTTGCACGTGCTAGGCAGCAGCTCTACCACTGAGCCACACCTCCAGACAGCTCCAGCCCTTAGCTTCTATTTTAAACAAGCTGCATTAGGTGACTAGGCCATAGAGGGAAGGAGTGAGCACAACTAGAAGTCCACTGAATGATAATTAAAAACAATGTTGAGACAGGCAGAGCTCTGTGAGTTCAAGGCCAGCCTGTGAGTTCCAGGACAGGCTCCAAAGCTACAGAGAAATCCTGTCTCAAAAAACAACAACAACGACAACAAAAAATGTTGAGTGGTTCATGTGGGGGATGAGTGAGGTAGGGGGTGAGGGAGGGTGAGGGGTATTATTCTGAAGTTGATCCCCTGAGCAGGTATAGAGCCTCAAAGGGGATGCGTCTCTGTGCAGAGCTGGTCCTGGCTATGAGCTAGCGCTATCCCTCATCTCTGTGGACTCGCTGCTTCCCGAAGGCATGGCAGCTGGGAAACAAAAAAGTGGTACTCAGGGCTGCTGAGGCTTCAGGGTCTATCCAAAGACCGTCAAAGCATCACTTTTGCCAGGTCCTATGGAGTAAAGCTAGGTCAACCCAGACTTAGGGGGAGGAAGGCTTGATCCTCATCTTTTTAGAGGGTTAGGTGCATGGGGAATAGAATTCATGCTAAGCACAAGTTCTGTAACTGGGCCACACCCCTAACTCAGCCTCCTTGTCCCGATGGAACAGGAAAATTCCAAGTACACACTAGAAGGGGGAGTGTTGGTGGGCATCTCTCAGACCGCCTGGCTGAGCCAGATCTTTCTCCTGCTTATAATTCTATATGTCCATTTCAAAAGGGGATTTGATGGTATAGTTGGGGGTGCTGGGTGTTACCTTCTTCTTCCACTAGTCAGCCACGTGTTCTTTTGTAAGTCTCTTTTATTAGTTTGGACTGTTTCCTTATTTATTTCAGCACTGTATAACCTTTTGTTCTACTATGTTTTGTTTTTGGCCCTCACCAAGTTTTAGTTTTGTTTTGCTTCTTAAGGCGGAGTCTTTCAATACTGTCCAGGCTCCTCTCAAACTCATGGTCTCCAGTGAGTGAATTCTGCCTCAGCTTCCTGAATAGCTGGCACCCCACGGGTGCTCCACTGTGCCCAACTAGTTAGCGACAAGTGCTTGACTGAGGGCAGGCAGGGCAATTGCCTGCCCTCCTCACTCCTCAGCTCATCCACAGTATCCCCCTCCAAGGGAATGACCTATCCGCAGCTGTCAGCCAACAGGAAGGAGTCTTTGCCAGCCCAAAGAACTCAACAAACCAGTTTTTGAAAATCCCCCACCCCTAGTGTTTGTTTTTATTATGTATTCATTTCTTGGTTGGTTCTTTGAGAAAAATCAACAAGATAGACAAACCCTTATCCAAACTAACTAAAAGGCAGAGTGAAAATATTCAAACTAGCAGAATCAGAAATGAAAAGAGGGATATAACAACAGACACCGAGAAAATCCAGAGAATCATTAAGCCATACTTCAAAAACCCGTATTCCACAGAATTGGAAAACCACTTCTTAAGTACTTAGAGACACATTTCTTTCTAGTCTTGATTCTTCAATAATAAAACCTTCATCCCCATGACGGAGCTGATGGCGCATAGTGTTAACCAGGCCAGCCGTGTTGTGGACATAGATTTTAATCTTCACCATAGCTTCCACCACCCCCAAGCACCAAAAGTTTCCAGAGTAAAAAGCTACACCTGCCAGGACAGGGGTCGGCAGCTGGGTAACGTGAGTAACTGTCACCGGACTCTGGCCATCTTAGCACTTTCTTCCCGACTTGAAGGCCAGCAGGCTGGTTCATCAGCCCTTTAGCCCTCCAGGGGTCAGTTCTGTGTGAGTGGCGTGGTGGTACAGGCCCGCACCATTGGGAGAGGGGTTTGGTCTCAGGAGATCACCCAGGGAGGAAAGATTTGACTTCAGTCTCTGGAATGCTGAGCCACACCATCTGTGCTCTTGGCTCTCCTTAGTCGCTTTTCCAATCCGGTCCTTCCTAGCTCCGAGCGCTGCCGACGTCCCAGGTCGGGAGCCTGGGCAGACCAAGTACTTGCGGCTGCTGCAGCGAGCGGGGAAAGTTCTCTGATTTGCACAAAGCGATCGCAGAAACCCAGGAACCTGATGTCGAGAGCGAGGGCTGGCCTGACAGTGGGCGCACAGCAACCCCACCCCCAATCCCTACCCCCACACTGCGCGCACCCCTCTCCAGGCCGGAGAAGAGGTGGGGCCGGGTCAGGCTCAAGGAAACGCTTCCCTGAAGCCGGGGAGTAGTGGGTGGTGGCCGCGGGGGCGGAGCCGGGGCGGGGCGGTGGAGACTCTTAGGGGCGCCCAGGCTCCCGCACCCGCGTGGGGCGTCGGGCGAGATGGCGGCGCGCAGCTTGGGCAGCGGTGTGGGGCGACTGCTGCGTGGCCTGCACGGGCGCTCCGGACAATCGGGGTGGTTGCTGAACTTGTCCCGATCGACCGCCACTCGGCTCCTAGGCAGCGTTACCCCGGCAGCGCAGCCAGGCTCGTACCCTGCATTGAGCGCTCAGGCGGCCCAGGAGCCAGCCGCTTTCTGGGGGCCTCTGGCCCGTGACACACTAGTTTGGGACACCCCCTACCACACTGTCTGGGACTGCGACTTTAGGACGGGCAAGATCGGCTGGTTCCTGGGAGGCCAGTTGAATGTATCTGGTGAGTGGGTTGCTGGGGACCAACTCAGTCCCGCCGAGACTCGGGAGGCCCCCTGTCAATAGCAGCTGTCCCTAGGCCGTGGTCCCTTTCTCCAGTATGCTTCACCACCCACTCTAATCCTTGTGCCACGTCACCGTGTTCTGCATCCCACCCGGTTAGAGACTGCAGCCTGCGGAGCACCAGCTACGCGCCCAAACCTGCAGGGCTGGCTCAAGCGGGAAAACTTGAGGATAGCCGGTTGGAGGTCATAATCGCCCACTCTAGCGCAGATTCTGGGGGCACTTTCTTCAGACTTTAACCTCGAAGATCCCCAGCGCGGTGGGCACACAGTTCACGACCCGAGATAGGCCTCGGTAGAGAGTCCACATGCTCCAAGAGCCTAGACTTTTCTGCTCAGGAGTCCCCAGGTCAGCGGGATAAACTCACTGTGTAGGTTGTTACCATCAGCTACGGTGCTAGGGTGCTAGGGTGCTAGCTAACGTTAGCGGCTCCCCTGGGGACAAGCCCTGCAGTGTAAACAGTGCCCTGGTGGGTGCAGGAAGAAGAAAGCGCCAGCCGCTGGGAGGGAACTGCTTATCTCCTCCCTTAGGGGTGTGTGGGCAGGAAGTTCTGGGTCTCAGAACTGCACCCCAAAGACAAACGTCTGCAGTCTCAAAGGCTGGTAACCCCAGCATGCTGGAGGTTGAGTCGGGAGGAGCAGAGCTAAGCTGACTGAAGGCCAGCTTGGGCCATGTAGCCTCCTCCTCGTTCTCCAAGAGACACACCAGTCGCTAGGTGTCTGTTTCCTGATGAACCTGGATTCCCTACTGCTAAGGTTGGAGGCAGGGGCGTACACAGCTCACTGAGGCATTGAGTGAGCCAAGAACTGAAGGAGGGCTGGAGAGACAGGCTGAGCCTCCGGGCCATAACAGGGGTTCAGGGACTTCTGCCTTCAACGGAGTGGGAGTGAGGGTTGGTTGGGTCAGAGATGCTTCAGAAAGGAATCGAAGGTCATCAGGCAAGGTGATGCTTTGTTCAAGGACCAAAGTTAGAGGTGGAATCTGCTGTCTGACGGGTTCACTTGAATTAAATTTGGCGCGTCTCAATGTCCCCATTTGTAATTAGAGTAATACTCATTTGTTAAGCTGGCTGTGCTAACACAGGGCTGGGAGATACTGAACCTTGTCCAGGCTTAATGGTAATCAATAAGCTGTATCAATTCTGATTTACTATATTCAGAAGTTATAGGTAATGTCTGTTTTTTTTTCTTTTCTTTTTTGTTTCAAAGCACAACACCTTAAAGAAACTTTGGACCAGTCCTTTTTTGTTTCCATATTATATTTTACTTGACAAGTTTAATCTAAATGAGTCTCTTGCTAGATAGGCGTTGCCTTTAGACTTGAGTCAGCAACATCTTGAACTTGGGGGAAGAAGTTCTTGGGTCTGCAGAACTGATGGAATGTGCCTTTGAAGTGAGTAAAGTAGCCTGTTGCAGGGGAGGGCAGAAAGCTGCAGCTTCTCTGGGAACCTCCCTCGGCTAAGAGGCCAAGGGCACGGGGACACCCAAGCTTGCAGCTGATAAGGATTGCTATCGACCTTCTGGTGAGGCTTGGGTGTGGTCTTCAAGGGATTCTTTGGCCTCTGTTCTTCCACTTTTAGAGCTGTGCGAGCCAGAGGCTGAGCTTCAGTGAGCTGACCTGCAGGAAGGCAGCTTCTCCACATGCCCAACGGCCTGTCTGTCAGCAGCATCTTTGTCCTTTACCAGTCTGCAAAGCCCAGAGGTCACAGTGTGAAAAGGGGACAGACTGCAGCTGCCCCGGGAGTCACCTAGGAAGTTGTGAAGTGGTTGAACTGTTTGGGCCTGATCTGGTTGTCACATGCGATAGTCCCAACTTCTTCCAAAAAGTCTGGAGTGACACTATTATCCTTTCAGGGATCTCCAGACTGATGAATGCTTCTCAAAGCCTGGTCCTGGACCAGTAGCCTTCTCAGGGAGCTTTTAGAAATGCAAATTCTGGGGCCCCTTAGGTTTAGAAACCGTGTGGCTGGGCATCTTCCAGCTGCAGGTGCTGGAAGTAGAGTTTGGGGGTTTCAGCTATGCCTTTTGCACTACATTGACGTCTCAGTTCTTACTGTGCTGGGCTTCCCGTGTTTCCTTATATGTGAACTAAAGAGAGGAGTGTGTTCTAGACCCCGGTAGGTAGTTATCACTGCTTCATACTTTCTCTTTAGCGGTGCAGTGCTGCAGGCTACAAGACCATCTCTTACCCTCGGAGGTCCTAGGTCAGGACTCTGGACAGGGCCCACGGGGTCAACTCTCCCTGATGGCTCAAGCTGGAGCCATCTGCCTGCCTGCTTCTCACTTCCTACCCGGGCCTGAGTTGGTGCTATGCTTAGAACGTAGTTCATCCCCTGGACTCCGCAGTAAAGTCCCTTTGTCAGGTCTTATGAGGGAGGTAACCAGGATTAGGGAGGTAATCAGGGCAGAGGCATAAGGTTCAGATCGTGGTGTTTAATAAGAGGGAGAGGCCAGAAGAAAAACTGATGTCTCATGCTGTATGAAGCATTGGCTTAGAACTCCTTCGGTCGGCAGAAAAAAAAAAATCACCAGATGCAGGCCTTTGAACTGTGATGTAAATAATTGTTTTCCTTTGTAAAGGTAGTCAGCCCCTGTTCTCACAGCTTCAGGGAATGGACTCCTACAGATGTGATAGGTGAAATTTCAGGCTGGGCTCAACTGAATCTTGTTCCCCTAATCACACAAGGCTTTTCATAGTTTACTGGCTAGGTTCTGCATCCAGAGGGCTAAGAGAACCATGCAGAAGATAAGGCTTCTTCTGAGCAGCCTTTTGAAGGCGGGGAGGGAACTTGTTTGCACTTGTTCCCTATCAGATGTGGTTCTCAGTGCACCCAGGTGGGGCTTTTGGTCGGATTAGATGAGATGAAGCCTGTAAATCCCTTGACACTGTCCTTAGCACATTGCAACCCTGGTCACCCATTGCTGTTAATCATTAGTGAAACCCTCGGTGGAAGCAGTGACCTTGAGTTTGCCCTTCAGGAATGCAGCTGAGTACTGTGGTAGACCCCGTGTGTTTGAGTCCCATAGCCTGGGGTGAGTGGGAAGCAGGAGGCTGGAGGATGCACAGGAGCCTGAATGGCTCTCAAGGGGCCACAGACTGCATCCACCCCACAGACTGCATCCACCCCACAGACTGCATCCACCCCAAGCTGTGACAGTGAGCTGAGATTTGGAAGCCCCTTGGTTTGGAGGAGGGTACAGTCTCCAGGCCCTTCCTTGACTTGCCTCTAATGCTTTATAAAAAGAAGTGTTTCACAGTCGGGTCTTTGGAAAGTCACACTGTAAAAGGGATTCTTTCTGGCCTTGATCATTTGGCTCTGCTCTCTGTAGGGCTCCACAGTTATTTTTGCTCCGTGTAGGTACACCCAGGATGCCAGGAAACTGCAAATCCAAAGCCAGAGGTCATGGTGTCTATGGTTGCTTTCACCATACACATCTTAGTTCTGTTTTTCTAAACCCCAGACCTTGAGTCTGACTTATTTCAATGTGTGCCTTCTTACTCTAGCAAGAGTATGCACACGAACTTTTTTGGAGACAAGGTCTCATATTTTAATCAAGCTGGCCTGGAATTCCTGGAGATCCACCTGCCTTTGTCTCTGAAGTACTGAGATAAAGGCATATTACCACCCTGCCTGGCTTAAATAAACTATTTTTAACTAACCGTTGAATACCAAGACATCTTGAGTGCTCTTTTTTCTTCTTCTATGCTGGGACTGGAACTTAGGGTCTCAGGCAGGCTAGGCTGGTGCTCTGCCACTGAGTGCTACCCACAGCCCTCTCGATGCTTTAGGAACACTGCACAAATAGAAGTCACGTTGCTGAGGTTCTTTCCTCGATGGCAGTGACTCAGCCGTCATGCTGATGCTGAGATGTTGCGATGGCAGACAAAGCTTGTCTAGGTTTTTTAAGGAACTCCAAGTGAAAATGTAGCTCCAACCTCATGGAGGTGGAGCTTCTGGAAGAATCCGAATTCTTCTCACTTGTCAGAAGCAGGACTTGCTTTAAATAGCAGTTGCTTCTGGAAAGTTGGCAAACGCAACTTTCAGAACGAAAGTTCTCAAAATGTGCCAGGGAAGCTCGCTATTTAAAGAAAGCCATTGTGAATCCTCAGTGTGGTAATAACTCCAGTTTCTTTTCGTGACGACTGAAGCTTTGTGTTCTGGGGCCACTTAAATTCGAGCTGGGTGTGAGGGGGGGGATATATTTAAGCAACCAATCAGAGCCTTTGGATTAGGGGTGTGGCTTAGGAGTTTAGTACTTAGGCAGCACTAAGAAACCCTGCATCCCATTCCTAGCCCTGTAGAGTCAGGGGTGGGAGTCTGAAAATTCCTACGTTATTGTGTGTCGTCTTTCTAAAGGCGGTAACAGCACTCTTGCAATTTTTGAGTTGCTAATGGAAAGTTTTAATAAACAAAATAAAAGAAAGAAAAAAGAACTGCCAGGCAGCTAGAGGGTCAGTGTTAAGCAAATTATTTCAAAAGAGAACAAGAAATAAAATATAAACATCCAAATGGAAAAAAAAATAAAAATAAAATCTCTGAGTCATTAACAAGTATTAACTGCTCAGAGATTGTGTTAGGATCTGGCCTGGAACATGTGCTACAGTGAGACAGTCCATGGCTGAGTAGGAGGGTGCCTCTCCTACTTTCAAGGACTATATTCCATTCTTGATGGTGCAAACATGGAATGGTTGGTGTTCTGTTCTATAGATGGAGACACAAAGGCCCAACCTCAGAAACAGTGGAAAATGCCCATTGTCATAGCATCTGAGCTGAGACAGATTACAAATCTATGGCTGGAAGGTGGAATTGCAACGATGTGATTTAACATTCTCAGTTGGACAACACTTAAGTCTCGTAAAACGTATCAAATGATAGCTGGCTTTTATAGATAGAGAAGGGCTGAGAAAAGCCCAACAGAGATCAGAAAACTGATTGGCTTTTTCAGCCACTTCCCTTGAAAGGCAGAGCCAGGCAGATAGGATAATATGAAAATAATGAACAGCTCACCTAGGCTCTGTCTGCTTTCCTTTTGTGTATAAGCATATAGGTGGGGGAACTTCACAACCAGGCACACTGAAAGTTTGGCTCCAATTTTTGTGTCTCCCTTCTTGAGTTCTTCAACGGGCTGATAAGCGGTCATGTTTTAGCTTGGTGATGTGAACTTTAGCATGAACAACTCTATTTTGATTTCTAGTCTGGTTCATGCTGGAGTTTAGACCAAAACAGTGGTCTCCTGTAATTTTTATTTAACACAGTAAGCAAGTAAATCTGTATTGGGATGATGTGCTCAAGATTTCCACAGGACTGGGGAAGAACTGTGGCCTTCAACCAGTCCCCATGAGAAAGGAACCTTATGGCCCTTGTGACCCAGATGGTGGGAGGAGGAATGGGCACTCCTGGGCAGAAGAAGGAAGTGTTACATGGTGTGGGCCACTGAGAAGTTGGAGGACAGGGGCTCACTGTGTGCTGGGGACTTGAAAGGCTCAAAGTAGGAGGTGGGGTTTGTTTTGAGTTCTGCCTTCAGTTGTGCTAGGTCCTGGCCAATCTTCCTGTAAATGCTTGAAGGTGAAATTTTCTTGTCTGACTGCCCAGTTCTTTGGATATGTTAAACATAGAGATTTGGTAAATCCTTCATGTCTTCCTTCACTCCTCCAGCTCCTTCCCCATGAGTTCCCTTTCCCTCCTGCCTCTTCCCCATTTCTCTTCTCTCTCCTCCTCCTTTGCTTCCTCCCTCCCCTTTACCTTCCTCTCTCCTATTTTTCCTCTCTGCTTCTTATCTTTTCTCTCTGCCCCTTCCCTCGCTTCTTTCTTCTCCCTTGTAACTGAGGAAGCAGAGGGAATTATAACTATGTACTAAAAACCATCATAAACATGGCATTTTAGGACTATGGTTCTGCCAGATCCATACTGTGGTGGCTCTAAGGAATGGGATTATTCTGTTGGTATGTTCCTCGGGAATACTGTGACTTTCTCAGACCCAATCTTAAGACACACTTGGGGGCAACTAATTCTTAGGCTCTCTTAGAGTCAGGGGTTTCTATATCAACTGGATTAAATATAATCCAGGCTTGATATAAATGACAAGGACATTGTCCATAGTTAGTGAGTGGCTGGCCAGGGGCCAAACTTGCGGATTTTTTTTTTTCAGGCAGCTCCAAGGCTGCCAGGCAGTAAGGCATGGCCAGGTGTCACACAGAACTAGCAAGGACCTTTGCTTACACCCCACCCCCAACCAGGAAGAGAAAGAAATGGAATCCCCACTGATTCTGGAAGCTACATATGTAGTGGGTGTACATGTAAACATACAGGCAGCTGCCCCTGTGTGGTCCTAAGACAGGCTAGAGCAAGACTGTTTGCTTAAAATGCACAGACTCTGCTAGGGCTGGTGTGCTTCACGGGGCCTAGGCCCCTACGTGGGACCAAGCTCTTTGGGGAGTCTGATGCCACTCAAGTGTGAGAAGCGTAGGGTTCATAAACCGGGACAGGCTAATGTTCCTGTGTTTCCTCTGGGGGAGCATTGGATTTGGGGATCTATTCTGAGCTGCCTAGATTTGTGCCATCCATCAGCCCCAGGAATGGGTATAGAAGACCACCCAGCTATACCACCTGTGCTAGGCCTTCTTCATCACCTTTCTCAACCTGCCTTTCTTCTTGGTATAAAACAGGTGGGATAACTTGTTGGGCTTTGCAATGCTGAGTGAGGGTCTCAATTCAGACTCAGTCACTCTCTGGGGAGGAAGGATGCATAGTACCCTGACTGTCCTGGGAGCAGGCAATGTTCTGTGGTGTCAGAGCCCCTTCCTTTGGGCAGGTTCACTAGGACACCAGGACCTCTGTAAGGTTGCTTCCTGTTGCATCTGACCACTCCACTCAGGGTGACAAAAGTCAGGGTGGGTTAGAGCAGAGGTTCCCTGGAGAGAATATGGGCACACATCTCCTGTGGCTTCTCAACACCTTCTAGGAGGTGTGAAGAACTTCAATTTGTTGCTAGCTTCCTGGTGTCTAGAGCAGCGTAGACTTCCTGCTCTTAACCAGTCCTGTCCTGATTTTCTCTCAGGACTTTCTGTGGCGTTGATTCTCAGGTGACCCTTTCCAACTTGTCAAGACCAGCTCAGAGTCACCTCTATGGCCAGGCAGCTGAGGACGTGGCCCTGTACCAAATGGTAACCTCTTCGCTGGCTGCTTAGAAACCATAAAACCCTGAGTTTAGAATGAAAACTCTTGGTGTTTGGGCATTCATGTACACACAGATATACATACACACAGACAGACAGATAGACACACACCACACACACACACACACACACACACGCACGCATGTACACACGCAGCACAATGATAAGCTAGACTCAGCCTGGGGCACTGTCAGCACACACGCACGCACGCAAGCACGCACACAAGCACACACGCACGCATGCAACACACCACATTGGTAAGCTAGACTCAGCCTGGAAACACAGTCAGCTGCCCTCTGAAGCTAGCTTGCTAATTTCTTCCCCAACAGCTTTGCATCTGTTCTCATCTGCCCATTGTTTCGCTGTTCTCCACAGTTCTAAGGTTCAAATGTCTGTGGAATCATACCTCTTCCCAACCCCGCTTTGCCACAGCAGGCTGGGCTCAGCTTGCTTCCATCTGCTGCCTAGAACAGTTCTTGACTGTCTGTTTGAACCATTACAAGGAGACTGTGGAGGGCAGTGTGAAGGACCCTGGAGCTAGTCTGAGTCAAATCCAGATGTGACTGTGTGACCTTGGACAGGCTGCTCAATCTCGGTACTTTTCACTTCGGTGACGAGAAATACTGGCAGTGGGTCCCCGAGAGCGCTGTCTACATCCAGGTGCTGACTGGTGCAGTTACTGTTGCAAGTTGCTCTTAGCTTCTGTGAGTGGGTTTGTCTAGTCTGGGTAACTTCAGCCCCAGAGTTCTGTTGGAAAAAGTTATGTGACACCTGCCACAGTCCACCTCAGATGATGGGAGGCCACTGGTGGGAATGTGGCTGGGGAGAAGGGGCCACTCTTTGAACCAGTTTGGATTAAGCTCACCTTTACAATCAGTGAACAGGACGTCAGCAGAACTGAGCCCACTAATCCTCAGGTTTATGGTAAACCAGCCCACTGACCTTGTGTTTTTTCCAGTAAGTCATGTGAACTGAGTTTGGGTAACAGAAGGGGAGGGGATCAGAACTTTCTTGCCAGGCGTGTTTAGGTTAGTACCTACCACGCAGAGAGTCTTGGGTGGTGGTGCCACGTGCAGCCAGTATGGTGACCATTGGAATGACATGATGACCTTAGAGTCTGTGGGGAAGGTCACTTTGTAGAACAGATCTTGATTGTGTCCCTTTTTTTGCTGTTGTGGCAATCACCCTATCTGAGGGAGAAGATCCCCGCTCTGCAGGAATAGTAAACCACAGCAGACCAAATCCCACTCCACCCTCTTCTAAAGCATCCAGAATAACATCTGTTAACTTTTCTTTGCGTAGTCAACTGCCTGGATCAGCACGTGCGGAAGTCCCCTGAGAACGTCGCTTTGATTTGGGAGAGAGATGAGCCTGGGACTGAAGTGAGGATCACTTACAGGTACTGTGTGTCATCTGGGACTCTCAGCACTCTAGAGGGGTCCTGGACCTTTCTATAATTTTGTTTTGGGGAAGGTATGTGACCCCTGCTGCAGCCGTTAACACAAAGGGTTCCCAGTCTGGAAGGACCCTGACTTGGTGTTCGCTTGGTGTTATCTGATGTCTGAAGACTCCTGTAGCAATGTTAGGAACTGGGGAGGCATGGGCTCAATTCTGTTGCTGTGTCTGTCTCAGGACGTGAGATTGTCTAAGCATTGAAAGATGTTTAAGCTTTGGGGATGTTCTGTTATCCCAGGTAAAGGAGATGTGGGCAAGGCAGGCTGTGGCTGGAATCAAAGCACACAGAGCATCTGCCCAACAGAATCCCTGGGCTGAAGATACCCAGACAAGACAAGGCAAATTCATCCTTGGGAGCCTGGGTGTGGGCGGAAGCCTCGGGGCACTCACCATCATTATCTCTTATCACTGAGGTGAAAAACACAGAGATTAAGTGGCTTGCCCAAGGTCAGTCACGTGGTAGCAGACCTGGATTTGACTCGTTTAGCTCCTGGAAACCTCCCACCATCCTGCCCTCTTTTGTTATCTTGTAATGGTCTAAACTGGAAGCCAAGAACTACTCTGTCAGCAATGCCAGCTACTGACCTTTCTCTATATACCTTATGATGGGGGTGGTGGCCGGGGTGATAATTAATACAAGTTTTCGAAGGCAGATATTGCTCCTTGGTTTTGTAAGTGGAGCCTATTCACTATCTGGGCACCGAGTACCAAGAATGTGATGAAGTATCAAGGTTTTTGATGAAGTAGGGACCATTCAGGGAAGTATGACCACTGACTGATGGTGATTTAGATGGGCCTATGGGAAGCTGCTGCCGCCCCTGGGTTGTCTTGCTCACAGATGCTGTGGCACAGCAGGGAGGAGGTTGCCTTTTCACTGATGTCTCATTAGCTGAAGATAGGTGTAACTCTATGAGAGCATGCTTGCCTAGCAGATATGAGACCTCAGGTTCTATCCCTAGCACTGAAGAAAATATTCTTTTGGCTAAAGACACAGTTTAATTGTTTGGTGATGTCTCTGGTTCACCACGTGCCTCAAGTCATGCGTTCTGTGTCTTTCCCTCATCAGGTCTTCTGAGTATGATTATTCTCCTCCAGGTACCTTCAGACTTTCTAAATCCAGTCAGCCATCTAGCAAGAATTTGTTTCAGGCCTTTAGTCAGCTACTGCTGGCTAGAGTAGCCTGCAATAACAACCAAAGCACAGCAGACTACTCGGGCTGCAGAGTGAGGTTGTTTAGGTTGAGATTCAACTGATTCGTAGGAATGCCACGTCCTAGGGGCTGGGGCAGGGAGGTGGGCTGGTAGAGGGGGGACACAGAAGGAGCGTTCATAGACATAGTTTCAGGCCAGGGTTCTGAGCATCGCAGTTACTTGTGGATGCTCAGGTGACCGAGGGGCAACCAGACACTCATTTTCCACTTGCTTCAGGAATTCTAGTTTTATTCCAGACCATATTCAATCCTGGTATAAGTGCTCAGGCTGCCTTTTGTAGAAAGCAAGGAGACTTAAAAAAATTTGGCATTTTAATTATTTTTAAATTATGTATGTATGTGTGTGGGTATGTGCATGAGAATACAGGTCCTCAGAAGAGGACATTGGATCCCCTGCAGCCAGGGGTAGAGGTGGTTGGGGGCCACCTGATGTGATGTTAGGAGCTGAACGCTTCTGCAAGAACAGTGCCCACTCTTAAGCACTGAGCCAACTCTCCAGTCCCAAGGTGACAGTTTCAATCATGTGTAGCCCCTGGTGGTGTTACTGGCGCACTCATCCCTTCAGTCCTCAGGCATATTGTAACCTTCATAGCTACAGGGCTGTTAGCAGACTTGGGCGCTCTCTCCCTTGCTGGGCTGAGTTCAGGGCCTGTATTGTTTCTATCCTCTGGTACCTGGCTTCAGCCTCCTTGTGGCTCACTAACTAACAGCATTTTACTACCAGGAGGCTGGTATGAAGAGATTTTTGGGTGGCTCCTGTACAGGGGCTCGTTGGGAACACTGCTTGTGTGAATTGGCTAGTTCAGCTGCTGCTTCGTGAGGATATTGGGTCCACTCCGTTTGCATATCCACATACATCCTTCTGATAAAGGTCAGAGGCAGCCGCTTGGGCGCTGTCATGTGTGGCAGGCCAGAGGCACCAACTAGAGAGCTGGGGTCCTGCCCCGATGCTGGCTGAAGGACTGGTGTTTCCCTGCCTCCACATCCCAGGTATGCTTAGAGTGGTGGATAGGCAGGCCACGAAGAATGCCCTGTGACCAGATGCAGCGGTACTTGGCAGTCTGTGGGCTGCTGAAATTTGTGGTTGAAAGTTAAAGGTAAACCACCTGGAATGCTCAGGATCGCAGCCAGCTCATTAAAGTCAAGAGAGACTTGAGGTGAGGTTGACGGGAACGAAGCAGCTCCCAGCCAGCCAGACGCATTACTAGGTACGAGTGAAGTGTTTGCTAAGCTGCCCCTCTATAAACATGCAGAGTTTGTTCACGGTGCTTTGGTTGGTCTCTGATGGCTTAGAACTAGAAGGCTGTGTGTGTTGTTAGGACAAAGTGCTACACACACTGTAATTGCAGCAAGTGTGTGCAGGCCATCAGTTAGTGCTTTCCAGGGACATTTTAGGCATTTGACTTGCTTCTGGTTGTCATGCCAGTAGACAGACAGACACATATTATACCTAGCATATTCCCTCGGAAATAATGTGATTTCCTTCCAGATGTCCCTGTGGCATTGGCACTCAAGGTGCTTCAGGATAGTCACAAGCCCCGTAGACTCAAAGGTCAAGCTCCAGACTCAGACTTTTTGTGTGTGTGTTTTATTCTGCTAGGGATCAAATTCAGGACATTGGTTATGCCAGGCCAGGCAAGTGCCCTGCCACTGAGCTACACTCTATCCCTGACCATTTAAAGATATGCCATGTGGCTAGGGATGGTGGTGCATACTGCAACCACAACACATAGGAACTGGAACACAGCAAGTGTGAGGCCAGGCTGTGTTACCCGGAAAGCCACTGTCTACACACACACACACACACACACACACACACACACACACACACCACCCCAAAATAATACACAAAGAAAACACAAGGGTTGCAGATGCAGCTAAGTGGTGGAGCAGCGGGCCCTGAATTTAATATCTGCTACTGCCAAGAAAACAGGAGAGAACCCAGAGGGGTTGTAGTTGTTACAGGTAATGGTGATGGCAACATGTTTTTTCTGGTTCCACGAATCTAAGTGGCTTAGATGGCTGCATACAAACAGAACCTGGGAGTCTCAGGTGATCTGTAGAGAGAACCTCCCTGAATGGCACCGGTGGTCTTGGTCATGTTTTTATCTTGGTCCTTTTTGGTTCAAAATATCCTCCTGGCTGATGATCTGACAAAGCTGTGTGGTCTCCCAGGGCACCACTTTCCTCTCTGTAAACTTGAGTGAAAATGACTTTACAAGGTTGACCCACAGAAGCTGGCCCAAGCATATGCCTACCCATGGTTATACACAGCAGCTGGCCAGTGAGTATCTTTCAAAACGCCATGACAGGATTGCTTTAAAGACTATGATTTAATTAGATAAGAATAATCATGCCAATTTTTATTATTTTCAACATTTCAACATTTCAACATTTTGTTATGGAAAAACTTCAGACAGTGCAGCCATCTACTTGTCATTCAGATTTTGTGGTGTGGTATCTCTATCCCTTGTCTGTTACCCATCCTCTTTTCTGATGCATTTCAAAGTGAGTTGTGAACATCAGTACTGCATTAGCCACCCCCCCCATCACTACAAATATATGACAAGAAACAAAGGAGGGGAGGAGGGGCTTAGTTTTGGGTCACAATTTGAGGGCATACAGTCTCGTGCTGGTGAAGGAATAGCGGTGGGCTGTTGTCTGGGTGCTGGAACTTGAGACAGTCACATTATGTGGAAGTCAGGAGGCCGGAGAGAGAGTTCAGGAAGGAAGTGGGGCCAGACTATAACCCTTAGGACCTGCTCCCGAGTGACCCACTTACCCCAGCAAGGTTCTGCCTTCTAATGTTTCTAAACAGCACCGGTTGCTGGGAAACAAGGGTCCAAACACACAGGTCTCTGAGGGGGATGCCATAGTCACTCGAGCCTGTCGGGTGCTCTCCTCCCAAGCTCTCCAGCATGCATGTGATTAACCAGAGGATAGCCAGGACACGCTTATTTTTCTCTTTTGATATGAGATTTACTGGCAATGAACCCATTTGCTGGATTTTGACTCAGGAAAACGCCAAGGAAAATGCTGTGTAACCCAAACCTCTATTTTAAATTACTCCTCAGGGATTATTAGTTCTTCTATCTAGCTCCCCAAATACTGTTGATCAGAGGATCAGGGTTTTTTTTTTTTCTGACATAGTTTTTATTCCAACCCTATAGATAAGAGACAGATTCAGAGAGATATTGTTTGTTTATGGGCAAATGACTGGTGTGGGTGGGGAGCCGCAGTTAGACCTGCATCAGCAAGTTCGGTGCCCTGAACCCACAACAAGTGCTAAGGGCCACGTCAGCAGATGTTTCTGAGGCTTGATGGATCCTGGGATGAAGCCCGTCAGAATGAGCCGTGTCAGCATCTGGTCTGGGATCAAGCTTGTCAAGAATGGACACTGATGTGTGGCCTTCTTCAGGTGCCCAGGGTTTCTCACCACTGGTTCTAATGAGTCCTCTCGACAAGTGTAATTCTGAGGAATCTGGTTTGGTGAACTGGCAGCTCCTTTACCCAGGTGGTGGGATTCAACACCGAATCACACCACCATCCTGGGAACGCACAGGAGTCACCACAGTGTGCCTTGTGTGGAGGTGAACTCACACGTGCACATACTCCCACCCACCACCTCTTAGACCCACCCCCACAGCGTAGCCCCAGAGCTGCTTTGTGCTTTGTGTGGGCTGTGTCACCATCCTGGGAGAAGACACACCCTGCGTGCCTTATTAGCCTTGGTC